ATATATTTGAATTTCTGTCCTTTTATTTTTGTATGACATATGCTTCAAATGATTTTAATATATCTTTTATAATTAATTAGCACACAAATATACAAATAAAACATAGAATAATTCGTGAATTGTTGCTTTTTATTCTTTAACTTTCGTCAACAAGCGTGTAGTCACGTATATTTACGTCGAGATTTTTACGTATATATGAAAAATCTGTTTTCAAGCTTTAGTGATGTTCGCTGCGAGATGTTCAAGCTCTATGTCAGGTATTTGGTTTCGCGGCAGTATTCAAAGCTCAATCAGATAGGCGCAACATCTATCTCCGGGTTCCATCATCCTCGACCAATTCTGAGAAATTCGATTCTTTATGGAAGTACGAGGAAGTACGAGGACTTATGCTTGTATGTTTCTAATAAATCCAAAGAAATCCAATGCGCTGGGCACCGCACGCGCCCTTTAGGTAATACATAAAATGAAACTAGCAGACCGATCTTTTCGCGGTCTATAGAGTCGTTCAAGATCATATCGCAACGAGCGAAGACCTAATGGCTCACGCGAGATGATACATGCCGCTGCAAAAAGCTTCCCTGATATCCAGATATATATCCCGAATGATACTATCTATAACGTGAATAACATCGTGCAATCGAGAACTCGTATCGCGAGATTACGCAGGCCAGATTAAACAGTATCCCTGGATCGTGCGCGAGAAGGTGTCGATGGATCAGATAAATCGAGATCTACGCACAATCTCGATCTTATGCGCAAAATTTAAACAGAATTATGAGAAATTCTTGTCGAACTTCCTTTTTTCTATTTTCATTTCCGTTTAGTATTATTAATGTTATGTGCACTTTCTAAACATAAATAGGATTTTGATATAAAAAATTAAATTAAAAAAAAATATACAACAAAGAGAGAAAGGAAGAAGTACAAAGTGGATCATATATCTATAAACTATAAAATATGAAATATATTGAACTATGTATATAATAATTAAAATATAATTAAATTAAAAAAACCTAAATATGACTAGTAAGTGAAAAACAGGAAAAATGTATTATTTAATAAATAAAAGGAATTATTATCAAACATCGAATGATAAATAACAGCTATAAAGTTATTAGATTTTTAACAGATGTTTAAATATAGTAATTAAAATCTATTTAAAAAAAAAACACAAGTGCGTTATAATACATAGTTTTAAAAAATTATAAGTTTTTCCAGCTCTGATTTTATCTTTAGAATATTTTATCCAATTATATTATCGATTGCAGTGCTGCAGTGACATAATCTACATATATCAGTTTAGGTTTTAAAAATTGCATTTCCTCAATCCTATCAGTACTTGCATTTTATAATCTATTTATATTCGCGTCGATTACTATGAGATTTGCATAGTTTCCATCTTCTTATTATGAAACTATGGAAATCTATATTCATCTCTTTTTGCTGTAATAATCATTGGCCTTGTTTTGCACAAAAAATTTTAAAATGATTATTGTGGTTTATTCTCATTACATTGGTCTTTAAAATTAGTGGAAATCGCGTTAAGACTGATTTATTATTATAATAGAAGAAATAAACGTGGATTAATTATATTTATACAGGAATTGAAAAATTTAATTGTATTTTTTGTTATACTTATTATCATCATTTCATATTACAATTAATAGTAATAATATAATAATTATAATTATATATTACATTAATACATTGTTTATTAACGATATATTAGTAATTAACTGCTACGTTCAATAAATATATATTTTGTATATATATTTTATATATATTTGATCTTTTTAGATTATTTGATATCTTTTTTTTTATCTTAATTACTATCATTAGACAAGAAAATCCAAAGTAAAAAAAGTATACATTTATACACATTTTTTTTTCGATTATCACATCTATATGAATTAACAAAAGTCAGGAAGTTAATCTGGAAGCTACCCAAAATTTAATGAAACATGTTCCAAATAAATACATTTTCTAATCACATGTAGATTTAATCTGATAGAAGGAATTTCCATGCGTTACTGTGTCTTACCATGTAATTTTGGTCCGCTCTGACTAATGCGCGATGCTTAACCCTTTCGCATCAGATGCAACACGTGATGTGTGTGACGTATCTCTTATCTCGAATGGATCGGATGTACGTTGTACATAGTCTGTAATTACCGCCATGAGAAGTGAATCCTTCGAGCGACTGTGCGCAGATCTTGTAAATGGAAGGAGATTCATTTTCTTCTGTTTTACCGCGAAGCTAATTGATTAACCTTTTGGACTCTCCTAGTAGCAAAACTTAACACGATATTACAACCTATTTTAGTATAGCTATAAACAAAGAACTCTTTGCGACGCCAGATATCTTTTATAATAAATAAGAAATTTAACTTCGCCGAATATCGGCGGTTTTGTAAAAAGTGTATCTCAATTTAAAAAAAAAACAATATTTATTTATTTATATTATAAAATCGAAACATCCGTGATAAAATGTTTATCTCTCTATTGATCATGTAGAAAGTCGAAAAAGGTTTAGCGAAATATAATGCTTATGAAGATTTAGCGAAATATAATGCTTATGAAAAGAACATATGGTTTTACTGAAGTATCTTAAGATTTAAATAAATATAGATTTGAATATAATTTTGTTACACTATCAAAATAATTATGTTGAAGACTCAAGCATAATGAGCAATGCAAAAAAGTTTTGATTTGCAATTAATTTGATCATCCTATATAATTATTTTGAGTCGAACGAAATTTATTTTCAAATTTATATCTAATTAACCTTTCAGATACTTCAACAAAGCCAATTCTTTCCGTACACCTAGAAGTTTTGTATGTCCACGCAATTTGGTTTATTAACAAAAGTTATTTGCTTATTCCTTTATAGTATTACGTTCTTAACTTTTCAAACGTCTCTTTAACACTTATAATTATGAATCTTTACTGCAGAATGTAATTGTGATGTTTTTTCTTCATAGGACCGTCTGACTGGTCATGGGGGCATCTCCTCGCTGGGCGGCGGGAATTCGTCACCCTATTCCGGTGCCCATCACCACGGACACCGGGGAAACGGAAACGGGGGCGGTATGCCCCACCACGGGGGCGCATCGTTGCCAACCGCCTCCGACTTCCAACCCCCTTACTTTCCACCCCCGTTTCCTTCGCATCATCACGCGCCCGCTAGCCCCCAGCATCCCGGTCTCGGCCAACCGCAACACCTGGATTACCTCGTCGGTGATCCTTATACGCAAACGCTCAACACACTACACCAACACCACTACAATCACCTAAGCGCTGCCGTCACCGCGGGCCAAAGGAGCGGTGATCTCAGGAGAGACGCCGAAGGGATTCACGTGGTAAGTACTAAAATATGCTTTCACGTAGAGAATGCATCAAGGATATCATAAAAGGTTCCGTAGAAACTTAAATCAATTATATTAGATGCTTATCTCATAAATAAAAACAGCTAGTATTCTGGCTAGTGTTTTAATAATGCATTTGGAACATTATAAATTACAATGGGATTTATGTGTATAATATTGTTTAAATTGATTATTAGATCTGTGGTTCATAATAAACTGCCATGTATTATTCTAATAATGCATTTGGCGCGTTATAATGCGGTTTAGAAAAATTTTAAATGTTCTTGAAAACTTTTCAAAAATTAATTATTATATAAATTTTTGAAAAAAATGCCCTTATGATATAAAATCAAAAAAATACATAATGTAAAATTTAATTGTAAAGAAAGTCGCGCGAATCTGATAAAAAAAAATCGCTCTACGATAGGGAATGATGTTCTATAAAAAGGAAGATATCATATGTGTAAGATTGAAGAAATTTTATGTGAAATGAACATTATGTGTTTTGTGGATGAATCAAACACTCGATAATGTCTAACGACTTAGTATGAATAATCTAACAAGACACAACGCACTGATGCACAAGGCTACTGATACTCGTATAATTAACTCTAAAATATAGTCAATTACAAAAAAGAATATTATATAGCCGGATAACACATGATTCGCATATGAGTTTTACATTCTTTAATCCTTTGACCCTTCATAATTATTTGTTCAGTGGCTTACATAATCCATATACAATCAATCTTACGCGCTCTTCCAACAGACGCCAATTAAACAATCACACGCTACATTAAACATTCGAAACTTGACTTTTTGCGTTTACACGTCTGCATTCTTTTTATACTTTTTCTTGCGTTGGTGCAAGGATCGCGACAGTTTCGTTCATTACCAACATGTATTATAGCTACACACAAGCGAGCATCCTTAAAAAATTAAACATTTACTTTTTGTTACCAACTCGAATGGAGTCTCAGTCGTATCAGAAAAAAACTTGCATTCAGTTAACATATTGTCAAAAAAAGAAGGCTTCGTGTTTTTTTCCGAAGGATCAAAGAATCGTTCGCTAATTGCGTATCTTAAATTTTGCAACACTGATGATGAAGAGCCGAACACAGACAACATACAAGAAAGATCCCAGCGCGTGTTTGGGATGCATTGAAAAAAAACTAAATTGATATAATATCTATCTATATTTAGTATTAATATTTATTTGATTAATTCTATGTAAACATTTATTAAACATATGTATATTTATTTGATACAAAAATCATTAATTTGATTTGACCTTTTCTTTATTGAGTAAATATTTATTTACTGTAAGTGAATATTTACATAACACTTAGTATTATTCAAAGAAATATGTATATGATGTAAATTTTGTTTCAGTTTCCAATTATCCAAATTTGATGTTATATTTTACAAACACCATAAATTATAAGTATTGTATATATAAAAAATATGTGGAAACATACAGAAATATGTATTGTGAATAGTAAGCATCCGAAAGGAACTAAAGAATACTTGAGAATGCACGCGGTAAGAAGGTCAGATTTCTTATACTGAATAACGTGACAAAAACTCGATTCATGTAATATTTAAATCCATGTCATTAATTAAAACAACGATCATCGTACTAACGATGCTGTAAATTTAACGATGTTCGGCCGTGATTCTCGACAAGTTTATTTATATATTATTAAATCTGCAATGCGGATATTTATACAGGAAGAGAAAAATTGCAAGTGGGGTTTCATACGGTAGAACTTCATTTGTCGTATGTAAAGATACAACATTTAAAGTATTCAACACACAAAGTATATAACACACATTGTTGTTTCATTGTTTCATTAAATAACAATTATATGAATTATTATTTGAATTATATTATATGCATATCTAATTACGTAATGTATGTATACTATATATTCTGATCTTTTTTCTTTTTTTTATTCAAACATATGCCGAAACAATTTAAAAAAATAAAAAGTTTGCTTTTTAATCATATATATATATATATGAATTATAACATACTTCCTTTATATAAGCTTTTCGCAATTAAATTTTAATATTCGGCTTCATCAAGACTTACAATTAACCATGGTCGATCGTTACCGCGAAGGAAGATCGTGTCTTTAACAAATGCGATGTAAGCGGCGTGTAATCTTAGATTACGCGATCATATCCTTCCTCATAGATCTGGGGAGATATCCTGAATATCGCGCGCGCGGAAGCATGGAAATTGTGGTGCCATGTATGTACAGCCAGTACCACGTTCATATAGAAGGGAATGAAAACTGGTGAAGATCCGGTCACGTGTATCATCGGTATCCGGCCAGCTGGATACCTTATTAGCAAAGTATCCAACGTTGTTATTTGTAGGACGCCGCGGCATATCTTCGCGACGTGTGTTCACGGGGTGGATGTAATGACAGGCGTGGTATCGATCTATCAGGAGAGTCGCGGTCAATAAGTCGTCGTCCCCGTGACATCGGTGATTGCGATCGTCGATCTGCCGCGAGCATGAAGAGGAACAGGACTTTGTGGCCGCGATACTCGCGCGACATTTGCATTTGCCACGGTGCGGAGTTGCCCGCCCCGTGTAATACACCTTACATGGCTGGAAATCATGCCAGACGAATTCCGACCAAACTGATGTCCTTCGAGTCTCTCTCGCCCTCCAATAAAATTGTACAGAATGATATTTTGTACAGGACGCGTCTTAGTCCTCGGAGATATACTTGAATTAATTGTCGCATGCATCACGAAGAACTTTCGTTTATTATATTGTATTATTTTTTCATTTATAAAGTTTATTTCTTAAATAATTCATTTTTGAATTGTAATCGTGCGTAGAATATATAGAAAAATATAGAATAATAATAATAATAAATAAAGAATATAAATAAATATAAAAAATAAAGTGAAAAATATAGAAAATGCCGATTGCCAATGAATTGTTTTTTTAAATTTTGCTTAAAAAAATCATGGGTTTTTTAACAATTCAATTCATATGACAGAACTGGATAATTTTATCTTGACGGAATTTTTATAAAAAATCGCACTATTTAAATATTTAATGTTAACACCTAAAAAAATAACGTCAAAACGAATCACACTTTAGAATGATTTTGCTGAAGTATCTAAAAAATGAATGCGATATATATATCTAAATATAATTTACACGTATTAAATCATCAATATAATTATGCAGGGTGTTCAAGCATGGATGAGTAATAAAGCAAAAAGTTTTAATTTAACATTTTATAACCAATTTGAGCATCCTGTATAATCATTTTGATAGTCCAACAAAATTATTTTTAGATCTGTATCTAACTATATTTTTAAATATTTTAATAAAATTGTTCTTTTCGTGTTAATAACACTTTAGAGTATAAGAATTTATAGAATATGAAAAGTGATTTTTTCATATAACTGGTTGCCAGGGGCTCGGCTAACCTTTTATTTTTTTAAAGAACTACTATACGTTTATGATTAGACGATACTATATGTTTATGATAGATTATTTATACCTATATTATGCTATAGAATGAATGCTATGTCTGAATTTAAGTATAAACAATCTAAGACAGGAGTATTGTTTAAAAACCCGTTGCAAAGGTCAGTTTTATGCACGATTTCGTATATAAGTATTACAGCAACACTATACCCAGATGTCGAGTGCGATCGGCTTTGAGATCCCAACGATCATTATAGCAATAGTATTTGTGGTCCACCTTGCACGCTCTTGGTATTCACGAAGGCACCACCCTAATTACCGCGTCGGCACACGCTACCACCGTCATTTCTATCGCGGATTACCATTCGTGCCCGATTTCCAAAGGTGTCATATGACGTTGGCGCGATGGAGAGAAAAAAAAGGAAAATACGTTCGACGAAATTCGACACGGAGGTGTGTGACGAACGTCACTCTTGCTCAGGCCCGTGTTCGTTTCGCGCGTCTCGGAGTTGAGAGCGGTGCAGAAGAGCAGTTTGTTGCGGAGAGCATCTGTCCACGCCATATGCAGGCTCGAGTTGCCGACTCGGCGTTTTATCAAGGACCGTGATATTATTTTCCGTCCGTATGATTGAGAGCCGGACATGCGACGCTATGTATATTGCTACTGTAATTTGTATGTCGAACGAGTTGCCCAATAACGCGCTAATAAAAAATATACGCACGGACGTTACGAATTGCAAGCAAAGTGTTTTCTTTCATCGTCGATTTTATTTAAAATCTGACGAAGACAGTTTACGGGGTTCAAGTGACTAGAGATAATTAGTGTTTCTCATGAATTTAATTTTTAGATATGTAAACAGGAGGCACGAGGTATTATCTAAATTATATAACATTAAATTAATTCTATCTTGATGGAATTGTTATTAAAAAATGCTTGGCTATTTAGATAATTATAAATAGATTAATGTTAACAATCAAGAATTTAAAATAGTATTGAAAGGAATCAAACTTGATATACCTACTTTAGGGTATAAAAGTGTTTCAATCGTATAACGCTTGCCATGTGAGGGCGGCTTTGACGTTCTACCCTCCCGCGATCAAATGCACGTTATCGATTATCCCAAACATCGCACCCCTTCGATTTCTTTCTAGCCGACGGGCATTCCTGTAGAGAGGGTGGGTATCTTCGATTTTAATGAAATCTCAGAACGCTATACTCCCGATTTCCTGCGATATTGAGTTAGGTTGCGGAATAACGCACTTTTCCACCGTTTACATAGTGGTTATTTATTGTTTTCCTTCCATACGGAAACTAACGCAGATATATTATATCACTTGCACAAGTTTTAATTCTAAGAAATTAACTTGCAAGAGGATATTGAAAAAAGCTTACTTAACAGCCAACAAAAAATATGCATATTTCAAACAGAAATGTAAATAAGCCGCGCGAGTTCTTAATGGCCATTTTTATTTACAATAATTCTTTAATAATGCATGAAGCCAATAATAATTAATCATCCTGAACGAGGGT